ATCTCTGTTTTCTAACGGAGCTTGACCTCCAACTTTTCTTTCTTGCTGAACCCCCCCCTAGTAAGAAATAATATCTATATATATATATATATTTTTTTATCATTTACTGAAACTTCAACAGCATACCTTCCAACAACACTAATGTTTCCATCTCTGTTTTCTAACGGAGCTTGACCTCCAACTTTTCTTTCTTGCTGAACACCACCCTAGTAAGAAATAGTATCTATATATATATATATATAAATGATTGGCAGTAGTGATTATTTTGTTCAGCCCATAAGCCTGAATGGTCAACAACTGACAGTAATGGAAATAATTATGGAAACACAAAGGTCATTAGTGTACAGTTCAATCATAATTAGATGGTAAACTTACTAATATCTCAAAACATTATCATAGAAAATACAAAAGAAAAATAATTATGTTGTACAATGCATTAATATTTTGTATTTCAGCCCTTTGCTTTACACAGAGCATTATACCTTGTTTTCATGCTGCCATAAAGTTTATCATCATATGATTGTGGAGTGTTGTTCCCAATGTTCAGCCAAGTTCTTTAGTTACACTTTTGACCTTCTGTTTTACAAAAACCTATATAGCCTAAGAATGTTCATATTGGAACTTTGTGCAGGTCAAACTATAGTTGTGAGTTTGTTTCATTGCTCTCTTTATCATCAAGATACTGTTCCATAACATATGATGTATATGTGAGGTCATTATATTATTGGAAGATTAATACATTGCAAAGAGTTTTGTTCTCATGGAAATGGCATAATTGATTAGTATCCGCCATCAATTTTGTGTAAATCACCAACACCTTTAGCTGAAATACTGCCCCAAACTTGTACTGATCTCCACCATGCTTTACTATACATGTACATTAACAATGGCACCATTCTTCTCTCCATCACAGAACAAACTGTAATTTACTGTTGCTGAACAAATCAAACTTGGTTTCATCTGTAAAGAGCACACATCTTCAACTTTGCTTATTTCACTCTTTGTGATCCAATGCCCATTTCAGCCTTTTGGTTTGTTTACCTCTTTCTGAGCAGCTATACATTTAATGAGACTAATTTGTACAAATGTGTACCTTACAGTTCTTGAGGTAAGGTTCAAACCTGTATTTACAACAAGGTCATTTGAAATATCTACACCCGACTGTCATCTCACAAAAAACAGCCTGATATAATTAACAGTATTTGTAGTTTGTTTTCTACCATGGCAACTCCTTTAACAAAACAGTACCAGCTTCACATATCCTGAATAAAGCTCCTACTGAAACATAGTCTTGTCACAGTTTTTACGTGGAGTATTTCTACATGCTTATCATGTGTTATTTCAGTCTTGTTAGCCATGTCTGGATTCATACTACTACTTGGGTAATAAAGTATTTCCATATTAATTGTCTTTACACCCTTTTTTCTTATTCTTTCCATAATTATTTACAGTACTGTATACTAGACTAGTAATGGCAGAGCAAATCTCATTTCTCTGTTCTTGAAGATTACTAGTATATTTTAAAAACTAATTGTTTTTTAGCTGATAGTTTTATATCTATATCTTTAAAACATCAAAACGGAAAAAAATAAAAGAGAATGTTGATTTTCAGTGGCTTATGAATTAGTTTTTTTCACATACTTTGCAGTCATTGTGACTAAGAAACTATATCAATAATAATATTATGAAATATACTGATATTATATTTTGAAATATTCTTCTATAAAATAGGTTTATCGTTGACCAACTTAAAAGCAATAATAAAAGTTAGTGAGACACAGACATCTCTACTACAACTTGAGTTAAGTTTGGCATTATAGTTAAAAGCAACTACTTCTAAACATTTAAGTACTGAATTCATAATAAATCAATAGATTAGTTGAATAATACTTTTAACCAAATGAATGTAAAAGCTGATATGAAATTACCTGGAAAAATATACTTGCTTCTAGTAAGACTCACTTGTTATATTATCAAATTATCTAGCCCTCCTAAGTAAGTATGTTATTGTTTGTAATTTTAATAAAACAAACCACTTATATCTTTAAGCAACTTGAATTAAACATTATATTTTTTTCACCTATTAATAGTCATTTGGCTATCTTTCTAAAAAATACTAGGTAAACATCACTTAAAAGTTGTCAAGATACAGAAGAACCAGAAAAACAAATTCTTTTGAAGCAATTCTAAACTAGTTTTACTAACATTGTTCTCACTACTGTATGAAGTTATAGAAAATTCTTACTAAAATAAAAGCAATATATATTTTTCACATGAAGAAACTATTTCACTGTTATTCTGTTTTAGACAACAACCCATAGTACATCACATCAAGATTATTTATAGAAAATAGGCAATATGTATCCTACTTATCTTGCCCAAATTCATATGCTTAATATTTTGAAAGTAATTTTATCACTGTATGATTTAATCATAATTTTAGAGTCCTTTCTTGTCATTTCAATAATAAATGAAAATAAAGTATAACCTTGGGAGGTCTGTTCTCTATATTGCCATTGTTTTTTGTTGGTGGTTGCACTTTATAATCCTGAGCTGGCTTCTGACCTCCAAGTTTTTGACCAACTTGAAAATAGGGATACCTCAGGGACTAAAAGAAAAAATAGACATAAATTAATTCCAATAGTTTATCAAAGATCTTTAAATAAGCCAACACAACATTTAATTGAAATTAACATATAAAATGGTTGCAGGCAAAGAAATAGCACAGGCAGCTGTCTAACATAAATTAGAACACAATGGCTGTGGGCCTAATAATGATTCAAAGAACAGACAAATAAACACACAGATTTTAAACTTATGATGATATTGTTAAATAAAAGACATACCACAATGCATGTTGGTCTTTTTGTGGGATTCCACCTAAGCAGATCTTTCATCAAGGTAATACCTTCATTACCACAATTTGGAACAATGCTATTTAAAGGCATTTCTGAAAACTGAGGGAAACGAAAGTTCATAGCAGCTGCAAGCTGGTAGCCTTCTGGCCAGTCTCTCTACAGAAAACACAAGATTTGAATATTATGAATATTAATAATCTGCATACAAAACACACATTGTACAGGGTGATTATGAAGAAAGTCCATATCTGTTATTATTATATATCTTAAAGAGCTATTTACAGCTAAAAAATGTATTACAAGACTATGTTATGAAAAAAAATGTTTTTTATATAACTTTCTTTTTTTATCAAATTTAATGAGAAAAACGTTGTAGACAGGTTGTTTGTGTTCTACCTTTTCAGGAGTACCAAGGACTGAGCATATCCTGAAGATTTGGTCTATCTCACTACGTCCAGGGAACAGAGGTTGGAGAGTGTACAGTTCAGCCATAATACAACCAACTGCAAACATATCAATTGCTGAAGTGTAGTTGGTGGATCTTAATAAGACTTCTGGTGCCCGGTACCTGCTCATTGTGAAAACAAAATTTTTTAAATCAAGAATATTGAAAATATCAGGAAAAAAAATTACTTTGTATTAAATAGAGAATCTTATTCAACACAACTAAGCATTTAATTATGCATACACTTTTACCACTGCTTTAAATGAATCAAAGAAAATAAGTAAGTGTTCAAACATATATGGAAGACATGCATTCTCAAATCATAAGGCAACCAAGAACACTTAAATTTACCATGCATTATGTGATATCTCAATTTACTTACAAGTATATTCATTTAAGTATTTAGAAATGTTATATTTTAAAACAACTTCATGATTCTCAAGGTGTAAAGATTATATTAATTCTAAGATAAACTTAAAGATTTCAAAGTACCCAATAAAGAAGTGGTGAACTGAAAATTTCTATTATTCTCGGAAATTATTACAGTTGGCAGCAGGCCTGTTAACAACACAGATCTCAATATAACTTAGTATTATAATGGTTTTAAATTTGGTCATACATAATGCTTGGAAGGCATGATAACACAAACTATTATGACAAATAGAAAAGCTCATACCATCTAGTGGAGACATAGTCTGTATATGGAGGGCGAGATCGAATCTCTCTGGCTAATCCAAAATCTGCAATCTTCACCAGGTCTGGCCCCATACACAATAGGTTTTCTGGCTTGATATCTCGGTGAAAAAAGCCATGTTTATGCATGAAAGATAGTCCCTGTAGTATCTGGAACATGATGTTTCTGATGGCAGGTTCAGGGTAAGGTCGATCCCTGTGAAATAACAGCAATAACACATGACAAAAGTTGTAGAGTGATGCTAAAAACATTCTTGAAGAAACATAATTTCCCTAATAAATTATCTTAGTTTAGGAACTGGGGAAAATACCACCAATATGTCTCACACATGAATTTATTATAGAAACAACTTTCTAATTCACTGGTTCAATGACTGAAAATGCAACTAATAGTAAAACCTTTCTAAATTCTTTTAAAATTTTAATGAACTATCTATCATTATAAATCTGGAGCAAGATATAACTAAAAATATTATAAGAAACATTGTTAGCTACCCATATTTACCTGATACAAGTAATATTTCTATAAATTACACCAATGTTATTCTATGAATGTTAATAAACTACCTGTGTTTATTGACAAGAAAATATTTTCTTTCTATATAATAAACAACTTGTTTTCAATAACCTAGGACACAGTGTATTTATATAAGCTATATTAACAAACCACCTGTTTTTACTGACCTGGTAAAGGTTCCCTTTCAAAAGCATGTAATAATATGCCTATCTTTAATGATCTAATGCAAGTTCTTCTTCAAAATTGTATAACAATTCAAATAAACAACTTTTTCTTCAGGCATTAGCTCACACTTGTATTCTAAGTACTATTACAATGATAATAACATACCTGTCGTTAATGAGCTGGTACATATTTTCTCTCTAAATTCTATAACATTATTCATAAACTGCATGTCTTTAATAACTTGTCACAGATTCTCTGTCTGAAAACAGAGGTTGTTTATAAGAAATCCAACTACACTAACAGACACCTACACTTTAGGTTCAACCACTCAAAAGCTATGAAATGCTGAATTATATTGAACAAGAAGTAACCTTTCTATAGAACATTTTAAAAACAACAGAGATACCCTTCCAGTTTTATATCTACTGTCAACTAGAACAAGATTCTCCAACACTCATAAATAATCCAACACAAATTGATCATTTCTCTACCCTACATTCCCAAGTTAAGTAAAAAAGGATTTGCTGGAAATTTAGTGTTAAAGTATATTTCAAATAAAGGTGTGGAGATACAATGATATGATACGAGTATCGTATCGTGAAGCCGTGATATGATTGTATCAATACATCAAACGATATGATACGATTTATGTATTTTCACGAAATTTTGCAAACTTTCAGTAACTATTATAAGTCTTTTTGTACATAAAAAATCAGAATTTCTAATACAGTATTTCTACTAATGATTAATGAATCAATAGAGAAAGATGAGTATTGAGTACTACATGTTGTCTTCATTTCTTTTATCAAAAACATTACATGCAAAGTAACATAACAAAATAGATAGACAAATATTAACTTTTTTATTTTATTTATCTTGCCAGCTGCCATTTAGTTGATCACACCTGAGAATTTGAAAAAGCACTCTAAAGTGTTAACTACTTAAATAAGACAATGTTAGTAATATAAATAATAAATTACAGACAAAACTGTCAAACTTTGTAACAAACCATTGGTAAAACTTCTGTATCTAGATACGTATCGTATCGCAGCATCAATAGCTAGGTATGTATTGTTTAGACTACTATGATGAGATACGCACCCATAATTTCAAACCAGGAAAACATTTCAAAACATCCTTTCTACAGTGAAACAACATTTACGTTGGAGAAACTGGTAAAACCATAGAACAAAAATTAAAAGAACATGAAGATGCAACTAAACTAATACATCCAGATAAATCGGATGAATATAACTACAAAACAGAATATATCATAAACTAGGATAAACAATTTCTAGACCATGGGTGCACAAACTTTTTTATGATGCTTCCCCCTTTCTAAACATATGTGATCCTCTCACACCCTGTATAAAAATAAAACAAGTCAAATGGTATATACTATAAGGCAAACAGTTTCAGTTTACTTTCGAGTTTAGTGTGAAAGAGTTTGGGATAAGGTGAGGCCCATTCTTGTCTGAGTTATTAATACAGCAACTCAGAGGTCCCTCATTACATGCAGATGAGATCACTGTTTTGATTTGATTGTTGTCAAAGTAGCAAATGCTAACTCACACTAGTATGTTGATGTAAAAGGCAAAAGCACGTCTATCACTTTTCTTTACCAATCAGGGTATTCTTTGTAAAAGAGCATCAATAAGTTCCTAAGAGGTTTTGACTTAAATTCTGCCTGAAGAGTTTTATCACTGAATAGTCCTAAAAGCTTTATGAGCAGTCATTAAGTGGATTCCAGATCCAATCATGTTCTTCCATTGATTCTTGGAACTGATCTACATATTGACACTAAAGATTTTCGAGATGAATAGATACAATTTCATGAATAAGACTATGACTTCACCAATTGTCTTCCAAGAAGTCACTGAGTCAAGTAAACTTTTCATAGTTTTCATTCTCATGCTAGTTTTTCTGAACCACAAGTTTTTTGTGATATGCAGACACTTTGTCACTAAGCTGCAAAATATAGCTATTCAGAACTTAAAAGGTTGTTGAGTTTATAAAAAATATCAGCCAGGTAGCACGGTACTAGAAGCCACTTTTCATTTATAAAATGCTCTGCTAGTGTGGGGTTGCAGTCTAACAAAAAAAATATAAAGTTTATCTTTCAGCTAAACAATGTGACTGAGTGCCTTACCATGAGATAACTAGTGCACGTCATATGCAGCAGAAGCTTGTTGTATGTGAATCTCATTTCTCTACAAAATCAGTCACAAAGTTCACAACACTCACAGCATCTTGTTGCACTTTGTTTGCTTCAGGCTGCAATTTCTTTGAAGCTAGTGCTTCCCTACGTAATGCATAAATGTTAACCTGGAGCAAAAGCATTTCCTTTGCCTCTGAACCCTTTCTTATTTCTAAGAAATGCAGCTGCCTCATCAGTGCATACCTCAACACAATTAATCCAAGAAAGATGGTTTGTGGTGATAAACTCATCAACAGGAGAAAAGACAGTTTCTCTGTCACTATACTTTCCAGTGCTTGGCAAAACACAAAATCTGCACACACAAACTTCCTCTTCTTAACAGTATTGTACAAATACAAGAAACTGAGTTAAATTTGCAACATCTGTGGTATAATCAAATTTTTTGGCAAATTTCAAATTGTTCTGGATGCATGTTATCAATTGTATTTTTATGTCTCCAAGCATGACCTCACATATTTCTATGGCAAGAAGAAGAACTAATGTTTATCCCATACTGCATGAATTCATCCTTTTCCCAATCAAATAAGGTGCTTCTAAAGAAGATTTCAAGGCTTTTGATGGAACAGTGACCTACTTTTCAAGCAAGTTGCTTTGCCCTCTCAACTGTTTCACTTGTCACTTCAAGAACTCGAAGGTTTTACCTACATGCTTAAAGTGTTTGGTTTCCAAATTCCTTCATGCTTTCATTAGCTAAAATCTGCAAACAAATAATGCACTTTGATTATTCTTCATTATTAACAACTCTGTAAGTTAAACCAAAGTTTAAATCATCTTTCTGATACTTACACACTTTAGTTCTTGGTTTGGTGTTCAGTTTAACAACAGAAACAGTAGAAACCAAGAAAGAGCTTGGTCCAGTGACAGAGCCTTCAATTTGTTGTTCTTTATTATCACCATCCTTTAATGATTTCTTCCATTTATTTCTGAGATGCCACTTGAAGAAAATTGAGATAATTTTTTTGCCAGTACATAACAACCACTTATCCACATTTTTGACAAACAAGTTGACAAATGTGTAAAAAAATATCCTGATACATTAGCCATCCAATCAACAGTCACGCTGCTTTTTGCATATAATGTAGCCTTGGCTATGGATTACTCTCCCATATCATTGGTTTATAAACATTCTAATATGATAACTAAGGCTTCCAGTTCACTGTAGTTAATGCAACTCTGCACCTTAATTAAGAGAGGGGTACTGCTTCCTGGGTTTTCAAAGGCTCCTAATAAAATAAGGTATTTAAATATTGCACTTATGATGTGTAAATGGCATAAATTATTATTTTATGCTTAATTAAGTAAATCTATTCTTTAGCTAGCAGCAAAAATTATAAACACACAGAGATAAAACAATAAATACAATGGAGGTTTAATTAGGTATGTCGGGAAATGAAATATTAATTACATAGGTTCAGGAACAACTGGTCAGAGTCACCTGTCAACTTTCCTTTGTGTCTTGATTATTTTGCATATTGTTCTTGGGACATGTGAATAGCTGTTTCCATCAGCCTTTATGTTTGTGGACTGTCACCTGTTATGAGAAGCTGAACTTTGTTTACAACAGATGGAGTACGATTTGTTGCACGTATACTTCTGAATGGTCCTGGTGTCCAAAGTTGATCTATATTCCTTTACTTTATAATGCCACTAAGTAAAGGGGATATCTACGTCTTAGAAAGTCTAAATACCTGATCTGAACACATCTTTATGACCTAACTATATAAATATTTTATGTTAGAAAGGGCTGTCACAAACCCTTCTCAAAAGCGACCAATTTTTGATGTCATCACACTACCAGTGAAATGCTAAACAATTTCAAAATTCAGTTAATGATACATGCTGTTACATCATGATTTTGCTTCTTAAATCTCTAAAATTCCCTCTACCATTCAATATGTTATGGCCTGTTTTCACATTCAGTCTCTATATACCAATATTCCTATTGATGAAATTTTAATTGTGGGCCTTCCCTTTCCTTCTAACACTGAGTAATATCATACATTCACCCAAAAACAATTTTTGAAACTTCTTGCTGCCTCCACAAAGTTAAGCCATTTCTACTTTAATAAAGTCAGTTATGACCAGATAGACTAAATTGCCATTGGGTTCCCCCCTGAACTCAATGATAGCCAGTGGTTTTCTGTGCTATCATGAATGCAGTTGACTAGAAAACTGCCCAAATGAATTCAAACCTGTCCTGTAGAAACTCTATATCAATGACACTTTCTTGTTGTTTCAAACACACAGTCATGTTTCTAAATCTCTTCTGAACAACCAACACCCTAATATTGTTTTC